ACACACACACATACATGCACACTACATTTACTCATTTATCCATTTGTGTGGTCAATTACTCATTAAACAAATATTTGCTACTACTAAACCCTGGATATAGGGTTGCACTATAGATGCTATGTACAGGGTTTAGTGAATCCTGAGGTGGGGGGGAATGTAAGGAAAGAGAGATAAGCAAGGAATGACTCCTGCTATTTAGAAGTTTATTATCTTGCAAGACTCATGTCCGTATAACTAAAATGGATGATATGACGGAAGTGCTCCAAATATAAACCATGTGCTATGATAATGCTGAATGAGCCATTAATAAACACTAACCTTGAGCTGGGAGAAAAAGTGAGTAAGAGCATTCCAGAGAGAAGGAGCAACATGAGGAAATCACACACGAGTTATATCGGATGGAATAGCACAGGACAGGCAGGTAGTTTGGTGGGCTTAACAGGTAGAGTTTTGCTGGGAGTGCAGGGTCATAAGGCTGGGAAGGTAGATTTGGTATGTTTCTTGTAATATTTTGTGCATAACAATGAAGCAAATTCTGTGTTTTTTGGAACCCCACTTGGTTATACAAATATTTGGTCCAAGCAAAGATAGGCAAGGCTAAGGGAGAGAGTGAAAAAAGATTATTCTGCATATACACTAGGCAGTTAATTTATAGTGGAAGGCCAGAGTTGGCTTTAGACTGGACTACTTGAGCCATTTTTTGATGAGATTAAGGTCTATTTTACCTCTTGGAACTTCTCCATACCATAGGAGCTAACCCCCATGAGTTCTGGTGGCTCCGGGCAAGTTCTGAGTTTAGCATGGACTGTTCACAACCAAATCAAGATTCAGAGCTAGAGAACTAAGATGCCTGGGGCTACCACTAATATCAGGCTGGCAAATGCCAGATGACAAAGTATACCATTTCACCCATAAAATTCTTCCTTTTGTTCACACCAAGAATAGAATTCACTAAGTCGACAGGACACTGTGTCAATATATTATAGAAAAATCTAATAGAAAAAAATGGCAATTTTTTAACTCCATGCCTTCTAAAGGTATATTTCTCAGCAATTTCCAAGTCCACTGAAAACTAAAATCTGAAATTTCTTTTATCTCACTATCTACCCTATTTTATCCTGAATTTAAGCCTTGCCTCTAATTCTTTGATACTTAAGTATTAATCGACTATTGGTTGCTTATTATCAAGAATTAAATATCACTCAATGATCCACTAATTATTAATCAATATTAATTCTTAACATAGTCAAAAACAATAGACTGAGACTAAAAGACAAGACATATGTCACTTCTGAGATACTTTAGTCATATAGCATTATACCAAATGGCACCCTCCCTAATCTTTTCATGGAATATTTAGAGTTTGCATTTTTTGATGGTTCCTGTTGAGGCGATAGTTCATTTGTGGTTATCAATGAGTTAGTGTGTAAAAAAAAAAAAATCTCATTCTAACATCGTCGAGAGAAGAATCCTTTGTGTTTGTCCTTGGTTTGATAAAAATGGGTCTGGGAGACCATATACGGTAAGTGGAGATTAAAACCAGGGTTATGAATTGTAGTGTTCTCAGCCTTAGAGACCCAAAATATCTTATCAGAAAAGATACATTGTTTTAATTGCTCCTCGGTATATATCATTTCTCTCCTATTCGTCCCAGGTGGCTGTCGAAGACCGTGTCAGGCAGCTGCATGAAGCCCACAGGGACTTTGGCCCAGCGTCCCAGCATTTCCTTTCCAGTAAGTCGTTTTCAGCTTTTATCACTTAACCTCTTCATCACATCTTTGTTGCTAAGAATTAAGAGTTGGAAAAAAAAAAGAATTAATAATTGAATTACAGTCATCTCTGCTAGATGTAGTGGAGACATAAATCATCCTGAAATACAACTCGGTGGATAGATTCAGAAGAGCAAGGCCAATTAGATTATTTTGTCCAGTCTTCAGCTAATGCATAATTGTTTCCTGCAATGCAGTTTCAAATGCTAACTTTATTAATATTTCTGAGTCTTTATTTCTGCCT